CGATCATCCTTCGAATTTTTATGGTGATATAAATGCTAAAACATGAGTTTTCTAACTAACAATGAAGGCAGTGGAAAAAAAAAAACTTTTAAGTACATTTCCATAAGGTTTTTGAGTTCCCGCCTAATGCTTGGTGAATTCCTCAGCGTAAACACCAACCAAGATTTCACGCATATCAATTAAAAGCTTAATTCAAGAATTGGAACTTTAAAGGACCAAACAAAACTTGCAAGGAATCTAATTTTATACAAATAATGTAATGTGGAGCATAGCACAGTGTGGACTAATATAGCAATAGTACTAATGTAGACTTTACATGTTGATAGCTGCAATTAGAGTTGTTAAACCTCTTTTTGATCAAATAGCAGGAAAGTTTCAATGAAGTAGAGAAAGAAAAAGAAAGACAACTCTTAAATTCTTCTAAACTAACAATCTAAGCTATGCTTTTGCGCTATCAAGTACGCAACTTTCAAATAGCAAGAATGATAACAAATAAGTTGCAAATAGTATGAAAAATGAAATGAAATTCTGAGCTCATGGAAGCACAAAGACTTAGTTCCAGTTTTCCTTATTGTACAGCCCGCCAAGGGAAGTAACGGGTTAAGCATCAATGCACGCTTGACTAGACACGCATGAGGAGAAAGGCTTGAACAATAATAGTTTCCTCAATATAAATCCTCGAATCTTTGGAAAAAAAATTTTCCCCCAACTAAACGGACTCTAGCAAGATGGAACTTGTAAAGTCGTTACTTTATTGTAATAGACAAGAAGAAAATGAAATTAAAGATAAATGACTATATGGAAATGCAAAATGGCCAGATATACGCTCGAATCCTAGCCAGGAAAGGGGCGATTACGCTGAGGTCGGGCCTCCGACAAGTAACCACGAGAACACACTGCTGTTATTGTGAATAAGCTCAATCGTTCTCTGACACTCCCCAAGTTGTAGTGACTGCTCAGGTAGTAGTGGGTGGAGGATAGCTTGGGAAATTTTGTTTTTGTTCAAATTTGTTAGTAA